TAATTATAATAATGTTTCATAATATTATGCTGTTTTACTCAATTTTTTATCAGATAGATGCAGCCTTGATGAGCATAGAGACTTCTTTCAAAAACAGTAAAACAAAATGTACAAACTTTTAATTGTTAGTGTATATGCTAATATATATATAGTGTAATATGTATAATGGCAAATATTGGGTAAATGTTCCTAGTAAGAGAGTCTGTTTTCATGTGCATTATTTGTGTAATAAATTACATCCGACACAGGCAGGCCTCAACGAGGTGATCTGAGTTGCGTTTGTCCTCCTGGTAATTGGGGTGTGGGGTGTAGCGCAAAACAAAAACAAAACGTATGCATATTCATCAGCCTTCACCAACTGAGGCCAGAGATGAGGGGCTTAATGGGCGTGCACCTGTTAAAGTCTGTTCTGGGTTAGCCTCTACTGTATATGTGCTCTGTGTGTGTGCGGGACAGGCCACAGGTGCAGATTTCATTAAGGGTTACATGATTAAAGCTCCTGCCCTCTTTCAATGTGGTAAGTTCGGCTTTGATGAAGAAAAAGACATGTTTTGGTGTAAATATCATGGAAGAGCATATTCATTTAAAGTGGACAAAACTGTAGCACTCTCAGAGAAGCTACTGACCGCAAAGCTGACTGAAGCGTTGTGCAGAATGGCTTCCTGCCGCTGAAACGTCTGCCGTAAGAACATCTCATCCTTGATGGCATGGAAACGCAAGAGAGAAATAGTCAATGTAGAAAAGCTCATGGAGTCAAATGAAGCAACATTTAGAGTAACAAAACTTTGCGGTGTACCTCTGTCTTAAAATCTCAAACTTATTTTCCCACACCTGATTGGACATGCACAACTGAGCCTGAAAACATTAAAGGGGTCATAGGATGCCCATTTTCCACAAGTTGATATGATTCTTTAGGGTCTTAATGAAAAGTTTGTAACATAGTTTGGTTCAAATTTCTCAATGGTAGTGTAAAAAACATTTTTTGTACCCTGTCAAAAACGAGAAGTGCTCACTAACACAGATTTAGACAGATTTGTGAACAATATTTGAGAGAAATAGGCCTTTTGTGTACATAGAAAAAGTCTTAGATCTTTGAGTTCAGCTTATGAAAAATGGGGGCAAAAACAAAAGTGTTGCGTTTATATTTTTGCTCAGTGTATATATATATATATATGTGTGTGATTAAAATAACTAACTATAAATGTAAGTTTATATATATTACAATTCTAAGTGTATAAATCTATGTGATTAATCACAACAAATGCAAAAAGAAGAACCATTGCAGAACCAATAACACATATCTATCGTCTATAATTACTGGCCTGTTGAAATCCACCGACTGGACAGCGGTGTAATCTGGGTAGATTGATTAGTTAGCTTCTGTGCATCAGATATTCGTGTCTGAGCGCTTCCATATTGACAGAGGGTATTAAGTCTTTCAGTTATCTTGCCAAGTCATGCCTGCTAAGCTCATTAACCTAGATCCCAATCATCAGAAAGTCAATAATAGGAAAAAGAGAGATTAAAAAGTAGCTGAGGCAAGACAACTCTCTCCATTTCTCATTCCTACTCCTCATGTGTCACTGCTAATATGAAAATAGTGCACAAGGCAGCCTTTCAGAGTGATGGACATGTTTAGTTAAATCAACATCTTTGAACATCTTTTTTGATGTGGTCAATATGAGGACAGGTGTTAATGCTATACTACAACTGTAATCAACTTAAATTAGATGTTTTAGTTAATGGTCTGTGTTGTTATCTCTTTCAGGTGGTCATGCACTAACCTAATCCAGGGAGATCGTGTGCCCCTCTCTCACTCTGTAGGCTGACGTCCAAAACACTGCTCATCTTCTGCTGGCCTCCATGCAGCACCTATTTTTAAGCTAAGAGTCCATAACACCAAAACTAGAACAGCTGTCAGTTGGAAGGTTCCTTACCGAAGGAGCCATATTGCTATAGCACAACCTTTTAAAAGTACCATCTGCTGGATTCTTCTGCCGTGGTGAGCAAGGAGCATCCATCTACAGAAAAATACATCTAAAATATCTCCAATTTTCACATCTCACAGATGCAATTGTTTGTATACAGAGGTCATGATATTTGCTAAACTCCAACCCAAATGCTAAACCTAAACCCTCACAAATCGGTTGACATCATGAAAACATGATATAAACCTTGTTAGTTATGAGGACCACTTTAAATGTCTCATATCGTAAGTCAGTTTTCAACATATTTCACTATATTGTTTTTGGTCCATATAAGTATAGTTACAGCTGTACACAAACACACACATTTACTTGGCTAATCTAAATGCAAAAATACCATAGATATCTATTGTTTTATAGTTAGTTAGTTATAGTAATACAGACAATTCACCATATATATTTACTATATTTATATTCAAAATTTTCATGCCCATATGTCCCCAAACAGAGGAATTGTCAGATTTAGCTCACTTCTTGGGGCAATTCTCCCCCAAATTTATAGTAAAGTAGAAGCTCACACATGTATTGTATGTACATTATCGTTCAAAAGTTCCAGGTCAGTAAGAGATTTTTCAAAATAAAATGAATACTTTTATTGAGCAAGGACACATTAAATTGATCAGAGTGACAGTAAAGACATTTATAATGTTGCAAAAGATTACCTATTTCAAATGCTGTTCTATTCGATTCTATTAATCAAAAAATACTAAAAAGGAATCAGGGAATCAAAAAAAATAAAGTACCTCTGTCTTAAAATCTCAAACTTATTTTCCCACACCTGATTGGACATGCACAACTGAGCCTGAAAACATTAAAGGGGTCATAGGATGCCCATTTTCCACAAGTTGATATGATTCTTTAGGGTCTTAATGAAAAGTTTGTAACATAGTTTGGTTCAAATTTCTCAATGGTAGTGTAAAAAACATTTTTTGTACCCTGTCAAAAACAGCTCTTTTCAGATCAAGCCGTTTTTGTAGCATTTTCCTTTAAATGTTAATGAGCTCTGCTGACCCCGCCCCTCTCTTCCGAGCTGCTCTCAGAGAGACTGTTTACTTTAGCGCATTTATCGTGAAACTTGCTAATTAGCATATTATTAGGAAACGCCATTTGCAAAGATTCATTACAAAACATTATACTCACTTCTTCTGTAGATGAGGCTGGATCATGAATGATTCACGCCAACACTGACGCATTTATGTAGATTGAGGATCGGTGCATTCCCTTCAGAACCAAACTGAATCCTCTGCATCTTCAGCGGCTCAGATGTAGGGAGTAAATTATGACTGTTATGTTCATTATTACGTCCAACAACAGAACACCTCAATCGCTTAGGAGTCATTCTTGCCTACATCTGCTCCAGCGGTGAAACAATGGCGAACTGATGACAGCTCGCTCAGGGAGGGTCTAAGGTAAGACGCCAGTCCAGTCTGTGCTGAAACACTCTGTCAATCAAACTATCGTGGGAGGGGCCTGTCTGTGTGATATCTGAGATCGCTTGATTTGAGAAAGGGGAAAACATTTAACGAGATAAAAAAAAAAACACTGGGTGGATCTTTATCATTATAGGGTGGTTGTGTACACACACTGCCAACACACATTTCAGTTCAAACAACTTGTAAACGTGCATGTAGTATCCTATGACCCCCTCTAAGAAACAATAAAAACAACAGAGGGCAATGGAAAGAACAAGTACTGTAGGACTGACCTCGTTCAAAATGTTATTATACCTTTCAATCTCCTTTTTCTGCATTGCTTCAGTCTTTCTAAGTTCTTTTATTTTTGGAACCAACTCTGTATCCCCAACAAGCTGAAGGAAAAATAAAGCTGAAATTCAGATCAGTTTATGCATGCATGTACTTCTACTTCAACAAAGTGAAGGGTACCTCCATGGTTGTAGGTTTTGGTGGCTTCTGCTTCTCAAGCTTCTTTTCAATGGCAGCTTTCTGACAACAGGAGAATCACAAACCCATCCTAAAATTACAATGATGCATTACTGTATAGGATTTGTATGTCCAAATAAAAGGAGTACAAATAAAATGTTACTTTCGTTTCTCTGTTTTCATTACTGTACATCTTAAAGGGCTACTTCACCCAATTCTGCAATCATTTACTCACCCTCATTTCATTCAAAACCTTTACTTTTTTCCAATGAAACACAAAAGAAGATATCTTGACGAATGTCTCACTGTCTTTTTTTGCCAATACAATAAAAGGTCCAATTTTGTTCCTTAATAATAATTCTTAAAAATATCATATTTTGTGTTTCACAGAAGAAAGAACATTTAAAGCAGGTTTAAAACAACACGTTTAACCCTTAAATCACTGAATCTCTCAATAAGTTTCATGTGGCTGTCCACCTCAGTGAACATTTAAATGGACGGCCATATTCTGTGTGTCATTATATCAGTCCGTCGCTCACAAAGGGTCATTTTAACACCAAATGTCCACTTTGTGTGGCATGTCCAATCAAGGCCTGACACAGCTTTGTGGAATGTCGTGTTGGCTGAATGAGTGCGTACATTCAGAGCAGTGTGAAGGTCAGGTCACCTCAGGTCAGCTCGGACATCCACTTTTCCACCCGTGTTCCCCCAAAAAGGCCTAACAGAATGTGGGAGTCCCTTTTTAAGTTTCTCTCAGTAAGAGTGGGTGCAGAGTGTGTTGTTAGTCTAACCCAACACAGAAAGGATGTCAGTCTACCCTTTTTCTTTCATCCCAACCAAAGAAACCAAAGAATGGGAGAGAGAAAGTTTCCTTGCCAAATTGTTCAAAGACCCATTGTGTGCAAAAAGGAGTAGGTGTTGATTTGTGATAGTGAGTTGTGTACGGCCTCTGAAGTACTCTGCACTGAGAACAGACACTAATGAAGGCATGCTACACTTCAGTCTGATTCCTTACTAGTTTGATGGATGCAGGATGCACATTTACAGTTTAGACAAAAGAATTAATAGTTAACAGAGCATTCAACCGAAGAACAACCTTGCAAAACGTTTTGATACATCCCATGTACACTACCACTCAAAAGTTTGGGGTCAGTAAGATTTTTGTAATGTTTTTTTTTAAAGAAGTATCTTGTATTGTATGAAGTATCTTAATGAAGAAGAGTATTATTGTGAAAGATTTATGCAATATAAGACAGCTGTTTCTACATTTTAATATTTTAAAATGTAATTTATTCCCTTGATGGCAAAGCTGAATTTTCAGCAATCATTACTCCAGGCTTCAGTGTCACATGAACCTTTAGAAATTATTCTAATATGCTGATTTGGTGCTCAAGAAACATTTCTTATTATTATCAATGTTGAAAACAGCTGCTTAATGTTTTTGTGGAAACTGTGATACATTTTTATCAGGATTCTTTGATGAATAGAAAGTTCAAAAAACAGCATTTTTTATTTGTATTTCTTTTTATTTAATTACAGAAATATAAATCTTTTGTAACATTATAAACGGCTTCAATGTTACTTTTGATCAATTTAATACATTCTTATTGAATAAAAGTATAAATTTCTCTAAAAAAATATATTACTGACCCTACATTTTTTAACATTATGTGTATTTGGGTAAGAAAAAAAATTTAAATGACATGATTTTGAAAGATAGTGCTTCTAACCATTCAAGCACAGACCACGTTTATAGATCTATTGTTTGCTAAGGTAAATAAATCAAACTGTCTGCGGATTGTACACTCTAAAAAATGCTGGGTTGTTTCAACCCAATATGGATTGACCCAACCGTTGGGTTAAATTTTTACATTACATTTTTAACCCAAACGTTGGGTTAGTCCATATTTGACCCAAAGTTGGGTTGAAACAGCCCAGCATTTTTTAGAGTGTATGTAAGTTTGAGTCACTGTCTATAGAGGGCCAGGCACATGCCATTTAAGATCGAGACTTGGGCGTTATAAAAAAAGATAAGAGTTCCACACATTTCCATAATAACTAGCCACTACAGTGGCCAAGCTCATTGTAAGGGTGCCCTTTATGAAGTGGACTTTAAACCGGGCTCATTGTCCACTTCTATTCAGCTGTACCCCATCACCCACTCCAGCCTGTCACTGTGTTGTGTCAGCTGCATGCCACATTCCACCCTCTGCTAGGCGCTGAGGCTTGGGATTCACACTGGCTGCCTCCTCGCCTCCTCTATGCGGTCACCATGTTGACAGAGTCATCGTCCTAACCGCCCCCCACGCACTCTAACCTCACCCTTCCCATCCAACAGAGTCTTAACAAGCCATGAACAAGCAAAAAAAAATTTAAAATGGGGAAGCATACTGTATGCAAGAAGCCTGGATGCTATGCCACTTTTGGGATCAGCTACATATACGCTAATAGCTTATAGTGTGCTTATTTAAAGGCAAGTAAGATTAGCATTGGAAATAGCACTATACAAATCTAAATAGACATAATAACATATTATTTGATCACGGTCACCAGGGC